AATGTTTCTTTCACTTTCGACTTGTAATTTTAAAAGTGATTTTTTTAAAATAAAAGTTGTAAAACTGTCAAAATACCTCTTCATTGCGTAGTTTTTGACAGTACTGGACCTCCGTTTCCCGCTAAATTTGACATGGGAAATAAAAAATAAAACAAAACCAGCTGTGAGAACTTGCAGGAGTAGCAGCAGTGTATTCTTTTTTTTTCTTCATATTATTCATCCGCCGGCACGATAGTTTCCCTTCTTTAAGATACGAATAATAATATGGAGGCCGCCGCGGGGACACTACCGAGTGGAAGGATACTCCAGTTGCCGGATTTGGAGGTAAGTTGATGAAATTTTTGAAGACTTTCGATCTTGCTTCCGATTTGACTAATTGATGTGTTTTGATCTTCAGCAGCCTCTTCAGTCTTGCCGGAAAGGAAAGCTACTCCCATCAACCATCACCATTAAGCAGGAACTTTTCTTCAAGCACGTTCCCACACCGAGCTCATCAGGAAGTAATTATTCAGATATCAACTGTACCATTAGTGTAAAATGCTTCCAATGGAAGATTCCATAATGCAGTGGCCTTTCAGTGATGATTGAAAATTTTAATAAACTAAAATGAATTAAATTAAATATGTATGTTTCATTTTTCTAAAGCAATAAATAATATTTGAGATGAAAACGTACACCATTGCGATAAACATGCCCATCTTTTAAATTAAAACCTTTAATGAGTATATTTAAAAAACCATACACAGCAAAAAAAAAGTAATATCAATCAACGTAATTCAAGCTGATGTATGAAATAATGATGTAATAGCAAAAAGCAGATACAATATTACATCAATGGATGTAATTTTGTTCGCAAAATCGATGTACATCGTACAATGTGATATTACACAACCGATGGATTGACCTGGTTGCAGCAGTTTCGATGTAATATTCAACAACTTTTTTTGCTGTGTAGGCTATTAGATTGACAGTTCTGCAATTCGATTTGAAAGTTTCAACTTTTAAAATTAAAGAATGAGCTACTTTTGAATTGACAGTTGGCCGACTTTTGTTTTGAATGCAAAAGACTTTCTACCAAAAAGAACCAACGCAAACTTTTAATTCTATCAATGGTTTTTTAAATTTTATTAACGATAATTTTTTGTGTGTACCAACAATCAATACGAAACTAACCATTTTAAATTGGCTCACTACTTGATTAGCCTATTGGTCCCAAGCAAACGATTAACGTATCCCATTCTAGTCGAAATTCTAGTACTACGCAATTTTTGTTTTGATTCGCTATGAAAGTTTGACAGATAAAATGAGGGGTTATTGTTTATTCCTATGTTTCGAGGGGTGAATCGATTAGCTTGGGACCGAAGAGAGTACCAGCAACAATCAATACGAAACTAACGATTTTAAATTGGCTCACCACTTTAGTAGCCTATTGGTCCCAAGCAAACGATTAACGTACCCTATTCTAGTTGAAATTCTATTACTACACTATGTTTGTTTTGATTCGCTATGAAAGTTTGACAGATAACATCAGGGGTGTGTGAATTCATGCAGAACATGCAGGGGTGAGTGAAATAGCTTGGGACTGCTTGGGACCGTTGTTCTGGTACTGAGTGAGCCAAAAATAATAATGATTTTCTTCGGGACCCAGTGGTCTTAGAGTTACCTCTATGGTACCAGAGCTGAGCCAAAAAGTGGAGCTCGTTTCTTCGGGACCATCTGGTCTTAGAGTTATCTTTTTTTTTTTTTTTTTTCTTTGGTTTGTTTTCCGTCGATCTTGTTTTCCGTGCTGAGCACCAATGCTACCGACGCCAGGAAGGCAGCTCCCACACCTGGACCCTACCTATCGACCCATCAACTCATGAACCGGGGACCAACGGCTTTACTTCCCTTCCGAAGGAAGACGTGATCAGAGATGTTATGCCTCAGAACATCCCGGCGGCGCCGACTGGGATAGAACCCAAGTCTTAGAGTTATCCCTATAGAGCTTTTTGACGTTTGATCGGCGCACACTACTGCACCATTTAAATCAAACGAGTACGAGCAAGAGGGAAATAGATTAGTGGGAAAACAAACCGTTCATTCATCCATGTGTGCTAGATAGAGAAAGACGATTAAACGTCGAAAAGGTCTACACACTTAGATTTTTTTTACAGTACACTGTAATTTTTTCCCGAATATGGAACAGCTGAACATTCGGTAATCCATTAGGTATTTATTTATTTACAATCCGTTCAGTAAATTTTCTTTCTTTGTGAGCTGTCAAAATTTGCTGACCTGGACTGTAGAATTTTCCTGAATGATCGGTAAAGTTTGCAATAGCGTTCAGTATAATATTTACCGAAATGACTGTACATTATTTCTCTGAATGAATGATAAAAAAAATGATTTTAATTGATTTATTAATTATTTCTTTCTCTAAATAAACGAAAAGATTCATTTGGCTCATAAACATTTATTTTTGTTTTTGTATTTTCATCGTGCGTCCGTTCAAAAATAATATTCTCTCTGACTGACACTGAGGGTACACCACACATAAACTCGCTTTTTTTCCTGTTGAGGAGGACATTAGATCGCTAAATGTCGAGCCTTATGTCCATGGCACATGAAAGCATATGGCCCAGTAATGAAAAAGAATTATACTTTCAGCGAATGGATTGTAGTAAAAAAGTAAAGTACTTACTTTTAACAAGGGAGCACATAAGAAAACTCATCTTAAAAATGGCAGCAAAAGTTGGGTTTGATATTATGTAGTTTACAAAATGTTCTGTAATTTTTACAAAACTCTCGTACAGCAGTTACTGTTTGTTTTTGTAAAATATTCGGTTTACAGTTCATTCGTCACAATTTTTACAGTATTGCGGAATTTCAGCCATTTACAGTTTTATTCAGTAATGTTTAATTACAGTTTATGGTAAATTTCAGTAAATTACGGAAATTCAGCAATTTTGATTGCGGAAAATTGGTAAAACAATATTTTTTACAAAGCTTTCGGTAAAAATTGTATTTTACAGAACGAATCCAGCAAAAAAAAGTACCGAACTAGATTTAAGAAATTTGGTGTGTATGGTGTTACCATCTAGGTTACCATGTGGTACACTGAAAAATTGCATTAGCAGCTTCGTCACCAAAGTTTTCGAGCCGCAGCGTCTGTCACATTGTGGTATAAGTGAAAAACATGAATAAAATAATTGATTTTCGTTTCGTGTCGAGAACACAAAAACTGAACTTTATTTCCAAAATGTTCCTGTTATATAGGGGGTTTGTGCTCTACCCGTAAAAAAAATCCAATAAAAATACAATGATTTTCATTGTCATTGTAAGGGGTCGTCCATTAATAATGTTACACATTTAGGGGGAGGGGGGGTTTTGAAAACTGTGACGAGCCATACAAAAAAAAAATTAAGGTCCATACAAAAAATGTGACAAAGGGGGGAGTGCGGGATCGAAAATGGGTTAAAATTTGCGTGACATAATTAATGGACCATCCCTAACCATGATATTTACTGTTAAAACATTGGACATTTTTGTCCATTACCATAAAATCACAATGAAATTCATGGTTCACAACAATGAAAATCATGGTATTTGAGAAATTTACAGTAAAAAAGGGGGGTTGTTACGCATCTTAACAATAGTTGAAGATGCTATTTCGAATAACAGACTGAAGTGGTAGTTTTTATACGATAGATGAGGAGGAGATGAAAGTATAGAATTGATAGTTCCGTTTAGATTACGGCAGTGTGAAAATTGCATATAGAAAGTAGATACACAGAAAAAAAAAGTTGTTGAATATTACATCCAAACTGCTGCAACCAGGTCAATCCATCGGTTGTGTAATATAACGTTGTACGATGTACATCGATTTTGCGAACAAAATTACATCCATTGATGTAATATTGTATCTTGTATCTGCCTTTTGCTATTACATCATTATTTCATACATCAGCTTGAATTACATTGATCGATATTACATTTTTTTTTGCTGTGAAGCGAGCTAGGATAACTTTTAAGGAAGGTACAAATCGGTTTTATCATCTCTCTTTACCAAACTCCCCCTTTTGAGAGGGATGGTGAGGGGTGTGTAAGTAAAGTATTATAATATTATAGTAATAATCTGAGTGGTGCGGAGAAACACGAAATGGTTGTCAAAAAGAATCCAACTGGTGCTGTCAAAAATAATCCAACGATCTAGAGCTGCTAAAAGTGATACTTTTCTCATACAATCCCCGTCGGCAGAGAAAGTATTGTGGTCAATGTTGAAAATATTGTCATTTCGGCATTTTTTTTACTAATATTCTTCAACAAAAAACTTGCTCAAATACTCGGATGTAAACAATGTAACGAACGAACGAACCTGCACGAACTGCTGAAGGAAGAATGCAAACAAACTTTATAAGAGTCATGTGGGTAGGTGCACTCCCAACACCATGTACACGTTATTTATGGAGCAAAGGGTGAACTTTCGACAGCATGTATATGCAAATTGTGAGCAGTGCATTAGCAAAACAATTTGTGATATCGGAAAATTTTCAAGTTGTTTCCTGCTGACTTGCAAAACAAAAACGGCTGTGTTCGCAGTACCCAGGTAATAATATTCAACAACTTTTTTTCTGTGTATTATTAGAGTGCACGCTATTTAAAAGCTTCCTAAATTTGGGTAGAATCGACGCAGATCGGTCAAAACTGTACATTCCTAAAAAATGGGTAATCTAAGTTGGGAATGATAAGTCGACAAATGAACAACATCGATCTGCTTCAGGTCGATGTTGTTATTTTGTCAACTTGTCACACCCCAACAAAGTTTACCCAGTTTTGATGATCCGGGTGGATTCAACCCAAATTTGAGAGATTTTAAAATAGCGTGTATTTATTATTTTTTGTTGAACCTGACTGTCAACCCTGGTGGCTACCAATGCTGGCTGCTACAAAAACATTGCTGCCAACGTAACTGAATGACAGCGCATTTTGTGCGAGTGTCACACGACGGCTGTCATCGTCGAAAAAGAGGAAGCAAATAAGACACGAAGTTGTGTAAGGAAATTTTAAGCCGCAATTTACCGTAAAATTGTGCTTGTAAAAGGCATTAAAATTTATCGAAATTGTCACTAAAGGTAAGTTTAAGGTATTTTTTATGAAAGTTGATTAAAATCAATCGTGATGCAATCGTTCTTGTATGTAAATTTTGCGAAAGTTTTCGCTTGTTGACATCTGGTTAGCTTGGGGGAAATTGGTAGCAATTCGATGACTTGTGTGATTCGAAGCTCGCTCGTCCTCGTTCAATGGTAACGGGTACCTTTCCAACACCCCTTGTTCCGCACCCACTTCGGCAGCTGTGTGCGACCCCTTCCGTAGATGTTTCAAGTTTGCTTAATCATACACAGCAAAATAAAGGAATTGCATTTTTGTTCCTTTCTAGGTGTTGCTAAACAAAGAAGGTAGAAGTTTTGTGAAATTGTGAGGACTGACCGAAACCGCACACGTAATGGCTGGTGCAATGATGTTCGATCGCGCACAGTCGCTGCAGCTGAATCGCCAGGATCTGTCTTCGATTGCGGCCGACCTGGAGGTGGACGAAAATGATGAGGAGCAAATCCGTCAAAAGGAACAGAAAATTATCGAGCTTGGCGAAGCCTACAAAAAGGAAGGCAAGGCTAAGGAGCTGGCCGACTTGATCAAGGTCACCCGACCGTTCCTAAGCTTCCTCAGTAAGGCTAAGGCTGCCAAGTTGGTTCGATCGTTGGTGGATCTGTTCCTCGATTTGGAAGCGGAAACGGGCATCGAAGTGCAACTCTGCAAAGAATGTATCGAATGGGCCAAACAGGAAAAACGTACGTTTTTGAGACAGTCCTTGGAGGCGAGACTGATTGCTTTGTATTTTGACACGGGAATGTATACGGAAGCACTGGCTCTTGGCAGTCAGTTGCTGCGGGAGTTGAAGAAGCTGGACGACAAAAATTTGCTCGTTGAGGTGCAGCTGCTGGAAAGTAAGACCTATCACGCACTTAGCAATTTACCCAAGGTAAGGAAAGGGGACATGATAATGGGTTACAAGGAGTGGCATGGTTTGATATGTTTGGTTAATTGTAGGCCCGTGCTGCGTTGACCTCGGCTCGAACCACAGCCAATGCGATCTACTGTGCGCCGAAGGTGCAGGCAACGTTGGATTTGCAGTCTGGAATTTTACATGCTGCCGATGAGAGAGACTTTAAGACCGCCTTCTCCTACTTCTACGAAGCGTTCGAGGGCTTCGATAGCGTCCAGAGTCCGAAGGCACTGACCGCACTTAAGTATATGTTGCTGTGCAAAATCATGCTGGGCCAGAGCGATGACGTGAATCAGATCGTCAGTGGAAAATTGGTGAGTGTTGGATGCTGTTGAGATGGGGAAATGTTTGATGATTTTATTTCGCTTTGTTTGCGCGCAGGCAATCACCTACTCCGGTCGTGACATCGATGCGATGAAAGCCGTTGCACAGGCCTCGCACAAGCGTTCGTTAGCCGACTTCCAGGAAGGTCTCAAGGAGTATAAACACGAACTGGAAGATGACGTAATCGTGAAGGCCCACCTGGGAACGCTGTACGACACAATGTTGGAGCAGAATCTGTGCCGCATTATCGAGCCGTACGCGCGCGTCGAGGTCAGCTACATCGCCGAACAGATCGCCCTGCCAATTGCCCAGGTCGAGAAGAAACTGTCGCAGATGATTTTGGACAAGAAGTTCAGTGGAATTCTCGACCAAGGCGTCGGAGTGCTGATCGTATTTGAGGAAACTCCGGTGGATAAGACCTACGATACGGCTCTGGAGACGATACAGCACATGGGTAAGGTAGTGGACACATTGTACCAGAAGGCTAAGAAATTGACGTAAGTACACCTGTCGAAAGTGGGGACAGTAGGTTCTTTTCTATTTAGGCTTTTGTTTTCCTGGTTCGTACGATGAGAGAAAAAAAAAACATTCACTGTTCAATTTGTCAATCAGTTGATCGTCTCTTATTATCCGTTATCGTTGGTTGGCACATTCACAAAAAAAAAGAAGAAAAATAAATATATAGCAAAAAAGAAGTCCATTAGCAACAGAAACTGAAAGATTACAACAGGAACGTATTTAACGAAATAATTAATAATATTCTGAACCACTAACCGTTGAATGACACATAAACTAAGACTTCGGGCATAGACCGGAAACGAGGATACTTAGAGCGTTGAAAAATAATTAAACTTCGATTTTCGCAGTCTGAAGCAGAAAAGGAAGGAGAGCAAGAACAATAGAAATTACAACACTATGCGATTAAGAGAATATCAGGAAGTGTAACCCACTGCAACATGATTTAATAAGAACAGCTTAAGACCTTCAAACCATTATCAAGTAAATTATTTCGTATAAATCTACGTCCAGCTGTTGGTTCTGTAGTTCGGGAATGTGATGACCTCCTTGTTTCGGTTTGTTCTGGTCGTGGCCGTCGCTGGATCAATGTGGTATGCGAAGGTATCCTACTTTAGCGAGTTCCCTATTGGGGGACCTGACAGTGCGACCACTGTGTAAAACAGTTTTAGGATTGCTTTCTACCAGCGATTTTTTTTTTTAGAAATGCGCTAATAGGGAAAATGGATGTAATGTCGGCCTAAATGCCCCTAATTTTGGCCCATACATAAATTCAGCAATCGACTAAATTTTCAATAGCGACCAAAAATATCCATCAGTACCGTCCCAATGCCGCGTTCGTCTAGATAAAATTGATAAACATCAGATTTTTAGCGATGGGCTCAATCTTAGATCCATAGGCCAAAATTAGAGCCATTTCCCCTAGATTGTTTTTTTTTTGTTATTGGAGATGTTTTTAAATTATCGGACAAAATGGGCCGAAGGGTCTCAGAATTTTACGAAATTTTGCCTTCAGGTAGAGATTATATTTATATCACAGACAAACAGACATAAAGCATAGAATAGAATGCCACATATTTGACGTGTAGTTCTGTTCTATTGAGAGATTCGTCACCGGGGGCGAGTTTGAACCAGGTCCGGTTGGTGAATTAGCCCGGGAACGTGCTGATAATGTGTCCGTCGCGAGTTTTGGTGGTGCTTCGGTTGCCGTGAATCAGCAAGTTTTCCGCGGTCGGTGTCGGAGATTATGAGCAATATGAAAGATGCCTCGCTGGATACGCCCTGGACTGGACGGGTGGTAGTTGGTGGCCGCGAAAAGTTCCTGGGGAAAGCACTAGCCGCGAACCTCCTCCCAGATGACACCATGGCAATGCAAGACAAGACAAGACAGTTGAAGGAAGTATCACGAAATAAGAAGCAAAGCGTAGAGAAAAACAAAACTACGGAACTCATGGATTTGCAGGATCAAATTAACATGGTGAGACCAGTCCGAATACTTTTTTTTTTTGGTATCAAGCTGGAGCTGCGTGACAGCTTAGTTTTCAAGACTTGACCCATTTGAATAAATGTTGCTTCTATCTTTGACGATACAGCAGAAGGACTAGCCTATGTTGGCCGCTTGAACACTGGATTCCGTATGTATTGTTTCAAGATAGTTATGGAAAAAATGCTGTGATGTGTGCGCGTAGATACATCCGCGTAGTAAACCGATTGAATAAGAAAATCCGTTTCGAACGAAATATCTAAATTATGTAAGTTACGAAAACCACGCGAATTCCGAAAGCCGTGCGAGACAACCGAAGCGTGAAAAAAAGCTTATTATCATTTAAAGAGTGCCACCAAAATAAATGTGATAGCCTATGTTGGCAAGTTGAATAATTTTGGTTTCCTCCCTAAATATTCTACTTATTTTACTGTTGAGCTTTGTTTCAATTTAGTTATTTTACCGCGCGTATCAATCATTTCAAGATTTCGCGACCGTACCGAACAAATTCTATACTACAGAAGCTCAAAAAACTTTTGGTGAGCTCTACCGCATTGCGAATCACTTCTGCATAAGCTCCGTAGACGTAGGCACGTTGATTCCGACAGCCGCGAAAAGTTAAACATGCATAAATATCACATAAGGAAAGATCGATTTTACGTAGGGTTTAGTTCATAGATTAACATTGACTGCTGTTTACAAATGTAAGTACTTGAACACTAAGAAATAAGTTAACTCAAATGCTTTAACAACATATATAAGAGATTTCGCGTATTGAGAGAATAATATAGTAATCGAGTACAACAAACTCAGGGGAATACAATACCTCCAAAAGTTTAAAAGCTATTAATTGTCACATACCTCTACTTTTACTAATTTCCTAAACTATTCCTCTTCTTCTTAATCTGCTTAATGCTGCCTGCGTTTTCTTTTTAAAGTTCAAGACTAAATAAGAAGATTTATTCTACAACTTTAAAGGTTAGTTGCCTCCCTAAGCGGACCCCCCGCATCCTAATTCTTTTGTTAATCTACTTAATGTCATTAGACTTTCTGAAGTTTCTTATTTAAGTTCATTTGATGATTATGATATCTCATTAGTCTAATTTAATAAATTATTAAAAGCTCTAATTCACCTAATCAATCATACCCCATGCTTTATTAAGTACCTGCACTTGTGCTTGTAATCTAAAATTAAACGTGTTTCAAGTACTTTTGATTTAAGCCTAAACCTATTTATTATATCTTAGTTCGACCCAGGTAACACCTTCATGTGACTAAAATGCTTCATTTTGAAGTTAGTTTCCTAGCTGATTTTTAAATTATATAGGGTATATGCTCCAACTATGCTCACACGCTTCCACTATGTCGCACCACAAAAATACGTATGGGTATGTCACAATAGAAGCACGCCACAGTGGAAATCCCGAGCCATAGTTCAAACACTTATCCCAAATCAAAATGAAGCACATATAAGATTAGTTACAATACCATGTACAAAAATGATGTTTAACATTGTTTCCTGAGTAATACTTCAATGAAAACAACAATGAAAGGTTGTCACGCAAATAGAAGGAGCACCGTTGGGCACTTTCTGAAATATTTCAATAGTATAATTCCCTTGCAAACCCAAATAAATCTATCTGCGTAAAAATAAATAAAAAAAAAGGGGTAATTTGGGGCAAAACCCGCCAGTAGCACACCCAACGTCAGTGCCTATACGTAAGCGTACTAAGACGCGGCTCTCAATTAAAGGAGTAACAAGTGTGATACTATCACTGCTGGACTAGATCTTTGGTTCTCTCATGCAGTGGTTTATCAGAGAGGGGAAGCTTAGTAATCCCCATTGCCTGCCCATGACGCCATTCTATCGCGGCATGAGCTAGCAACGCCGACCATAAACCTACCGTCTCCAACACTCTACTATAAAGCATGAAATTAAGCCCGCCCACCAACAGCAAGGGGAGGGAGACCAGTCCAAATACTTTTTACAATTAAAATAACAAACTAAATACGTGCCAGGATTCAAAAACACATTTTGAAACTGGAAGTGTGTGTGTAATACTTATATCTAATTGATATAGGTAATACATACATACGGGGCTTATTGGTGGGCGTTGGCCAGATTTGAATTTTTCAGATATAATCCTAAATAGGACCTAGATTATTTAATACTCTAGTAACCTCAAGTCCGTGCTCTGTCACAATGTTTCATTGTGATTAATCAACACTCAAAGGGGTAAAATATCAAATTTGGGGTGAATTTGAAAGAAAGGGAACTTGGAGTGTAGACCGCACTGCCCACTGGACGATTCTGAAGCCTGGCCAAGTGAGTGGGGTATGGGTTTATTTGATTGGACGTCATTTCCAATGTATATATTGATACATTCAAACCATTGGCATTTGAGATAAGACAGAGATAGGATGCGGAAGGGCCCGCTTAGGGGAAGCGTAACCCATGTTATGGTTTCCATTTATTAAATAGTTCAGATAGGCTGGAAATGACAGGTTCATAGTGAGAAAATGTACCATATGGGGCCCGTTCACTGATCAAAATCAGATTCACATCGTCAGACCCTGCCCAAGAATAAGGGGATTGACGATGTCTTGTCAAGTTTTATTTTGAATTTGCGTTTTGCATTTAATACTCTAGTAAATCTCGCGTCCGTGCTCATTCACAACAGTGTGATGTGTCAATACTCACTGGGTTATATGTCTTAGACCAGTTCCAGATTAGTTTGCTATTAATATCTTCTGCATCGCAGTTCGCGATAGATTACTAAATATGGGTTCTCTTTTCCGCCCATAATAGTGTGAGGCGAATAGAGGCAAATAAATAGGGAAGACAACACCATGACCCAAATAAGTAACAAATGCATGCGGCAAGAGGAAGCAGACAGAAAGGATCATGCCGGTTGGAGACAGCCAATGTATACTGGACGAAGCTTGTATCTAGTCGTATGTGCAGGAAACCGTAAGTAGGATAAGAATCGTAAAAGGTGTGTGCTTGCTTGATAAGATCCTAACTTTACTTTAAATACACGGTAGGAATCCCCTCCCCATGGACATGGAGGTTGACTGGTACTGAAGCAAAGGGTTATGTTTAATTTCTTTATATTTGCAACGATGATGATTTCCCATAGTGACACATATCACCTTCTTAATGCTTCAGTATACCTCAAACGATTAATTCTTGGTTGTTAATAGAACTTCCTTGATGCAATCGGCTGCTTCATGCAGACTGAGCAATTCTGATTATAGTATCAGATTTGTTCTGTATACAGAGGAACTGGCAGGGCTTATTTGAAACTTCTCACCAATAAAGTAATGACCTTCTAGTAAATTTTGCATATCATTTTATTAATATTTTATTTTATTTAAGCATATTATTTTTGTTACAGTCAATTAGCATTAGCATACAATACAAGAGATTTAATATTACTTGCTCGGTTTTGCGTAAAATAATCAATATGTATTTTGCTTGTAATAACGTTTGATTTTTTTTTTTTTTTTTTTGTGATTTCAAAATTTTCCTAGTTTGGTTAGAAGTTTCGAAGCTAACACATGTCCACAGGCCTAATAGAAAGATAGACAGACAAAGCGTATCATGAAGAATAGTTGCATGCAGGGTTGCTTCCACTCACTTTCTATAGATGAGTGATTTTCGGAGTTTTGAATTCGTTAGATGTTGTAGTGGAGGTTTGTGTTGTTGGATGCGGGAGGAGATTGGAGGGCGGGTGTTTGACGCATAGAACCTGTCAATTTCGCTTTCAGAGTGTCGCAGTCAGCGGTTTTATGATTCGTGAGCGCTCGCGATTCGTAGAATCGTTGATTGTGACTGCCAGTGGATTTGGCGGGTTTTGTGTGTCGGACGCTTGCTTTTTGGCATTTTCTTGTGTCTAACATGTGCAGAGTATCATCACAAACGAAGTGACAGACGGAGCGGCTCGAAAACTTTGGTGACTAACCTGCTATTGCAATTTTTCAGTGTACCACATGGCAACACCACTACTACTGGATTGTACC